TGATAGTTATTATTAAAACGCCTGCCATTTGATATAAATATTTAAGCATATATGAAGCATACTAGCTTTTGGTTTAGTAAGAAGTTGCATTTAAGGAGTGACTTTCAATATTTTCTTATATAATAGGATGACGAAAGTTGAATATATCTTCACTCTTTTATAGTGCGTAATTAAAGCATATTTTAAACTTCAGTGTATTTTTTTAATGAGCTTTATATTTTTTCATAATAGCATGTATGCAAATAAATATATGAAATTTACTTAGTTGTTGCATCTTGCTTGTTAGTGCACTAAATTTCAGCTTTAAAACTGATATACCCTGTCACTTAATTTTAATTATCTAAATAAAGCTTCGACCTTATAACCGCTCGTTTTGAGTGTGGTCTTGGACTTTGCCTCCCTTTTATTCGCTATGCATGGAATAATGTATAATTTTTTACTGTTATTCTTGCCCTATTTGATTAATGGAAAACACCATCTTATTCACGTCCATATGCTTTTTCGACACGGCGATAGGAGCTCTATTTCTCCATATCCTTTCAAAGATTACGACCCGTCAGTTGTATGGCCGGAGGGTTATGGTCAGCTGACTCAAGTTGGAATTGAACAGCATTTTCTTCTTGGGAAGTGGCTAAGCAATGAATACAACAATTTTTTATCACATAGTTATAACGTCTCAACATTTCACATGCGAAGTACCAATGTTGATCGGGCGCTAATGTCCTCACAGGCTATGATGGCTGGTTTGTTCCATAAATCGCCCTCCTCTCTTGAAAAGTATGGTCTTCATTGGCGTCCCATTCCATCACATACCGTTCCACAAGTGCGCCTTAGCGTAATGAATTTGACTTCATGTCTATTTGCACTTGTCTATATAATGTATATTTTTTTATTTCAGAATAATGATTGGCTATTAGCTCTTGCCCCATGCGACCGATTAACGCAGAGGCGTAATGAATTAATGCAGCTGAAGGAAGCTCAAGCGTTGTTCAAGGAACATGAGAAAACCATTTCAACGATATCGGACTTCTATGGAGTCAAGAATACTTCTTTCACTGATATTTGGTCGATATCAGATGATCTGTTCTGTTTAAGATCTCACAATGCCACTCTTCCCGCATTCTACACTAAAGAATTTGCCGCAGAATTGGATGATTTAACGGATAAAATGTTTCAGGTAATTTATCTTTTTTAGAGTGAAGGGATAAGGAGAAATTTAGTTTCGCCTCCTGCCTATTCTGTAATCTACTTTATTATAATCTCTAAACATCTTTATTGAGAATTATTTGAGAAGAAGGATGGCCTGAAATTGTATATTAGCCGAAGTTGAATTTGCTCAGTGTCAAAGGTTGCATCGCGGAGCCTTTAAATACTATGTTGTTCTTATTAGATAATCTACAACCACGGTACATTGACAATTGGCAATTAAAACTCATTTCGTTTTTTTGAGGACCAGGCCACATCGCAGGTTTTTTTATATAACTCATACAGGTAGTTGTGTAGTAGCACTTATGGGATGCTCAGAGTTTGATCAAGTGGGTATTTTTATGAGATGTTCTCCATGCCTTCATATTTTGCCATGTTTAAGAGCATTAACATTACATTACACATCAGTGCACATGCCAAGATATTCCGTGTTGTTTATGCAAGTGTGTTAGGTTGCTACTACGACTTAACTTCGTTTACATTTTGAAATTTTGTGTGACTGTGCAATTTGGAATCGGTGGTTTTATTCTCTACGAAATTTCGTCCACCTTCCTATAGAGAAGGGAAAATTTCCGGTTAAAATGCTAAATTGCTTGATAAAAATATGATTAATATGCAGACTGATAGTGGTGTTTACACGTAGTAAAAAAAGAGTTCACACTTGGCTGTTGTACAATTAATAGGGTCAAATTTGAGGGTATGGCTACTAAAAGAATTAACTAAACTCGATCTACTAGTGTTCTGTGTTTATTTTCATTCCTAGTGCGTCTTCTAAATCAACCATCACTTTTGAATAATCAAATTTCCTCATCTATCTCGAAGCTTTCCAATTTATATATATATATACTTGTGTACACTTGCGTAAATAAATAGTGTGAGTGAGGAATCAAGAGAATCTATCAGATGGTATGTATAATCAATTTGGATCAGGTTTGCCACCACTATATGACATGATTTCATGATCGTCCTTTGTTCAAGTCATTTTTATGTATCATTCATCTGATGAGTAAAAGGTCATGGGTCATTTTTTTAATCCGCTGTGCTCCAATGCCTTATCTGAGCCCTCTTGGGGTCTAACGTAAATTATTTGCTAATCTGATTCTTTTCCATAATGTATATGTTTATGGACGTCAATGTTTAATATTTTGTCCTATGTTAGCATCTCATTGGAATTTCTAGATAAATAAGTAAATTGATTTTTGATCTTCACGATCACTTTGACCTTAGCTACTGGTCACAGGACATCTTCATTAGTCAGGTCACCACAAAATACTGTGCAAAAGATGGTTCCTCAAACAGCTTTAGGGATAAGAAACCTGTTATTTTTACAACTTAAAAGGAAATTTGATTCTATTGTAATTGTTGCTCTTAGAGATCGTTACGAAGAAAAATTATATGCGGATTTCAAGTTGGAAATCAGCTCACCCTTTATTTCTATCAATGGTTATACACGTGGGAGCCATTTTCATCTTTCAGTCATCATTTAAATCCCCAACGGCATATTGTTTTCTTATACTTAAATGGTGGGTTGAGGTATCCCCCCCCCTCTTCCCTCCTAGTTGGTTCTAGGAAATATTTTTCGGTGAAATCGCGTTTAGGTTTTTTGCGTTTGTTTAAACTGTTTTTCATCATCCCAACTGGTGAATATAAAAATAGTCATTTGAAGTGTTTTACATTCACCTCATATTGCGTCTGATGTAAGTACACGTGAAGCTAACTCGAGGAGGAATAAGAGCGTATTCGATCGAATCCATCCATTTTTGAAGAACTTGGGAGTCACACGGATATGACTCGTGGGAATCGCACCTTTGAATTTTAAACTAATTGTAACCTTAGCGTATTTGAGAATGCATGAAGTCTAAATTCCGTACTACAAGTTTCAACTATTGATGTGACAAAGTGTTTTCCAGCACCCTATAGTCTTGCCATAGAAGTGGTAGATAGTTCAAAAAATAGGTTGCTAGTTAATTTATTTCTTGTTTTTTTTAAGGTATGATGTCAATTTTTTAATTGCTTTTTAGATTGACTCACATGTTTTCGCTAATGATTTTGTATGGGAGTTCCATGCAACAATTGTTTGCTTTTTTATGATTCTTAAGTAGATTTCTCTAGCTTATTCTCATTCCTCTCCATCTTTGAATCTAAATTAATGCATATCTTAAGTTTGTTCCATTCTCCCCCCTTGTAGATCTACTTTGATGATCCAGAAAGCATAAAACTCTCCTCAGGTGTCTTCCTCAGGAAATCCTTCAATCAGATGTCACGTCTCATTCCCAATGGGACTCTTCACAATTCCAAAGACGTTCCACGGATCCTCGCCTTCTCCGCCCACGATACTAATGTCGCTCCGCTTTTGGGTGCATTTGGAGCCTATGCCAATGAGTCCAAGCCTGCTTACGCTTCTCTGGTAATTCTTGAACTCTACGCTCCCTCGCCAAATGCTCCTAATGAGGAATTTATTCTCAAACTGAGGTATAAACGCGGCTGGAAGGACGATACCTCAGAGTGAGTTTCGAAATGTCCTTTAGTTACTATTAGTAACCTTCGCATTTTGATAAAAGTCTAGTGAAGATTGCAGAAAACTATTTACGCCACAATAGCCCCCTCTAATTGAGCTAACTTTGCAACCACAAGAGGCGTCTGTGACGCCAAAGTATTTGCAATTTTAATCGGTTAATTTAAAATATCCCTCCTCTTCATTGATAATTGCACTACTTGATCCGTCACGTGTAGCAATGAATCTATTGATACTGGCGTCGGTATCCTTGTTATTTCATTAAACAGATGAAGCCCAATTCTTTTCTTCAATTTTTACCCTTTTTCTCCACATGTACTTTGCATTGATCTATCAACAGTTAATTCAGTTAATTAATTTAAAACAGATCTTCAGGAGCAGTAAATGGCGCATATTTAATTCCATTAATGAGCAAAATATCCTTCGCAGCTTTCATTTCACACTCAAGGGAAATATCTAACGATATCAATTAACATAATCTTGGCATTAAATTTTAAGTTTAAAAAGGATTACTTACGATAGTGGGGGGGGGGGGATTTTGTTCCTGTAAGTCAATCGTTGCCCAACAATTTGTTGAGATTAGTCCACTTCGTGCGATAATGGACGTGGGAATGGCATCGTCTAATACCCCAATGGTCTATTTGACATTTTCTGAGCTCATGAATACTAATTCTTTTGTTGATAAACGAAACCATCGTGACTAGAGTGAACTTCATCATTGCTGCTCTTAAGGAATAATCGTTCAATCAGCGGGCTCTCCTCCCCAATATCTACCTGCATGCTATAGTTTGGTATTATTTAAAAGGCTATTCAATAAAAGAATAATCTTGTGAAATATTCCATGCTCTATTTTTGACCGCACTGGGTGTGCGTTAGACTTACCATCACGTGGTGCATCCTGGGAAGCGTATACTCTTGCGACAAAATTTCTATAAATAGGCATTTGACTTCTCACTTCAAACTACCACGACCCCATTGTATGTCATTTTCCACTACCTGCACAGCATTCACCTTACCTTATTCTCTACCCTTGCGTCTATCTCTTTTACATCTCTGAATCAATCTTCCGTCCCTCTATCAACTTTTTTTGGAGATTTTGTGTTCTTCCACTCTTCTGTGAAGCCCGAAGTCAAATAAAGGGCCAATGGTAGCTATCATAAAGCCTGCCGTTTGATATAAATAAACAAATTTTTGGCTGCACTGAGCAAATGGGTTTTCGAGATTCTCAGTAGCCTCCCCATAAATTGTTTCTATAATTCATATTAAATGATTTATTCAAAGGCGATTAGGATGCGAGGCACATCTAACAAATCGAGTTTCCATTAGAACATTCAATCTTATATGAATACTCAGATGATTGATTAAAATATGTCATTCACTCTATCGCCACTTCTATACACAAAACCTTGTGATCTTAGTCGTCACACAATTTTATATTTTATGCTTCTTAATTGATATCAGTGAACTTCATTTACAGAAATCTTCTGTCAGTTTGGATTATTTGATCCAATTCAATAACAGGTAACAGAGAAGCCAATGGCTCACTGATCGAAGTACGTCTTCCTATCAGTCCTTATCCATGCATATTCTGTGTTGGGGTTGAACAGCCGCACTGTTAATTCTGGATTCTGCTAGTGGTGTTAGAAAGGAAGTTGTTATTTGTAAGATTGGTCTTTCTCTTACCCAAGTCAGGTAGCGTTAAAACTTCTCAGTGGCTTTGAAAATGTATGGAGGTGCACAGTGGGAAGTTTATATTAAATTTAGCTGTTTTTTTTCACCTTTTCCTCTTCTTCTTTTACTAGATATCTTCAGTTTTCCGCTTGCAAGGGTCAACGAGAGGCTAAGCAAGGTTGTCCCTTCGTCGTAGTTCGAGAATCTGTGACTCCATTCTTCCTGACCGAGGAGGAAGCTGTAGTTGCCTGCAAAGCGGATTGGCTTTCTTTTCCCTACCGGACTATTGTGGTGCTCTCACTTGGTATCTTCACTGCCCTCCTCTTGTCCTCCCTATTTGCCGTTGTTTTCTTCTCAAAAAGACGTCAACGAGGACGTCAGCTAGATAGGGGCTTCACTATATCTGGAGATATGCCCTATTCTCCTCTGGTATCATCTCCTCCCACGCTCTAAAATGTGTGTCCGTCTGTGCAAAAGTTATATTTGTTTTATGGTTTCATTCGCTTCCAAGTCGATGATGTGACCGAGTGTTACCTGATTTTTATATGACAAATTGACTCCATGAATGGTTGTCTATGTGTATCTTGACTATGTTTGACACGTTTACGTGTTCGTATTGATTTCATCTATCATTTCATATAATTTTGTGGAAACACACACGAATTACTTTTCTTTTGTTTACCGGATGTTTATTGCACTTGGGTAGCTTCGTAGAGTAACGCTGATAATTCCTTCTCCATTAATACACAAATAGTTTATTTATTTGTTTATTTCAAATGGCAGGCATTTTGATAGTTATCATTAGTCCTTTAGCTGACTTCAGGCTTCACAGAGGAGGAGGGGGAACATCAAAGTGACAAAAAGTCGAGAGGGGGGACAGAGTAATGATTTACAGATGTAAGAGACAGGTTGGCACAAATGTTGAGCGAGTGCCTGAAATAATTTCCTCCTAAATGTTGTAATTTGAAAAAGTAATAATTGGTCCAGGTCTAAAGATCACGATCACAAAAATCAAAATCTTTGCTACCATTGACAAGGATTCAATTTAATATCTCTAGGGGTTTGACAACGTCCTAATTTAATTTTCTCAAAAGTGGTCCAAACTCCAATAGTTTAATGTCAGAAATTTTTGCTTATTTGTCGTTTTGCATCATTTATTGGTGGGTCGGCGGCGAATGGGTCGACTTTATTGGATCATAGATTTGGATAGATCTTGAGGTCTGTCCACGGTTTTTAATTTAATTGGAGTCTAAATGACCTGTTCTCAGTAATGGAAAAGTTGCTATTTCCCCCAATCATGACCAATGCTACTACTTGGATAAACAGATGCTTAAAATGTACCCGTGAGGAAATAATTTATGGAAAGGTGTTTCGAGGTGGTCACTTCTTTTCTTCTCAGTTCTAAGAATATATGATGCCACCTCTTGCATAGGACTTCTAAGGAGAATTGAATAGAACCTGATGCAACTGAAAATTGGTGAGTGAAAGTACCAAACAAAAGATTAATCGATTTCTCCAAGGGTGAAGCTAATTTCAAAATACACTTTTTGGGGAGAAGAAATTTGGCGATTTTGGACTTTCAATAGGGGGCTTTCTAAAGAGTTAGAACTTTTAGTGGATAGAGCAGAAATAGACCTTGACAAGAATTATTAATCCTCTACAAAATCTTCTTCTGTAAAGGTAGCCCTGAAGACAGCTAAACTTCGTCAACAATGAGGAAGCAGAAAGCATAGAGGTGACAGGGGATATTGCAAATATGACCACTGGCACAGAGCTAAGTCATTAAAATTAAATTAGTGCTATGCTATGGAGCAGCAACTATTGATTGCTGAATATCTGAGAGATATCTCTTCACACATGCTGCATTTGTTCAATATGGAACAAGCAGCGCTTCACACCCTCGAAATAGGTTCCAACATGTATGAGATTTTTTAGTCCGCTTTGGCAGCATTGTGTACTCCAAAAACTATAATCGACGCCAGCATAGCAGAAGAATGCACACATCTTGAAGTACTCAAGTTTTGAAAAATTGAAAGAAATGAGCAAATGTCCTTAAGTTTTATCCTATTTTAAATAAATCTAGGATATTCTAACCAGTAATTTCTTGGTTAGTCTTCTTATTTTACAACTTTGACTTATGTTCAAGTAATTTTTCTGGGGGGGAGGTGGGGGGTTCTCAAAGGAGTTTCAGAGAATTATTCGAATTGTTGAATTAGGCTGAAATTGAGATAGATGGCTTCATTTTGCTTTTATTTTTTAAATTTAATTTAAAACTTTGAACATACCTTAGGCTAAAGCAATAATCTTTATGTGTGTAGCGGATTGTTACACTAGTAAAGCCTGACTGACTCAGAAATCTCTATGGCAGATTCTCCTACATCTAGCTAGACTCCCAGAACCAGCTAAGCTATAGCCCAGCTATCAAGGAAACAGAGACGTAGCACGGAGCACGTTTATTCAGGACGTATATTGCGGATCAAGTGTGTACACGCAGGGAGCTACTCCTGATCAGGATGGGGGATTAGGTTAAACAGAGGTTAATGATTAGTCACTGTTTGTACGGTCGCTGCACACAGAGTTGTACGGCCGCACCTCCCAATCCTGGCGAGCAAACATGCAGGTATACGATGACGAACAACGCGATAACGTGTCCCACATGTACATTGAT